ACCATCCGGGTGGAGAACCGGACTCAACCGTACCATCCCCGTGGGGGACCGGACCCAACCGGACCATCCGGGTGGGGTGCCGGGTCGGGAACCGGACCGACCGGACCATCCGGGTGGGGAGCCGGATCAACCGGGTCATCCGGGTGGGGAACCGGATCAACCGGGTCATCCGGGTGGGGAACCGGATCGACCGGGTGGGAAACCGGACCAACCGGACCGACCGGACCATCCGGGTGGGGAACCGGACCCGGCCGGACCATCCGGATGGGGTACCGGGTCAGGAACCGGACTGGGAACCGGATCATCCGGGTCATCCGGATGGGGAACCGGATCATCCGGGTCATCCGGGTGGAGAACCGGATCAACCGGACCATCCGGTTGGGGTACCGGGTGGGGAACCGGACCAACCGGACAGGGAACCGGAACGGGAAGCCGGATCATCCGGGTCATCCGTATGGGGAATTGGATCGACCGGGTGATCCGGGTGGGGAACCGGATCAGCCGGGCAAGCCCGATGGGGAACCGGGTGGGGAAACGGACCAGCCGGGTAGGGTACCGGGCGGGGAACCGGACCATCCGGGTCATCCGGGTGGGGATCCGGATCGACCGGGTCATCCGGGTGGGGAACCGGACCAACCGGACCATCCGGGTGGGGAACCGGGTCGGGAACCGGATCAGCCCGACCATCCGGTTGGGGAGCCGGACCAATCGGACCGTCCGGGTGGGGAGCCGAATCGACCGGGTGGGAAATCGGACCAACCGGGTGGGGAACCGGACCAGCCGGACCATCCGGGTGGGGAACCGGGTCGGGAACCGGATCAACCCGACCATCCGGTTGGGGAGCCGGACCAATCGGACCGTCCGGGTGGGGAGCCGAATCGACCGGGTGGGAAATCGGACCAACCGGGTGGGGAACCGGACCAACCGGACCATCCGGGTGGGGAACCGGGTCGGGAACCGGATCAACCCGACCATCCGGTTGGGGAACCGGACCAATCGGACCGTCCGGGTGGGGAGCCGAATCGACCGGGTGGGAAATCGGACCAACCGGGTGGGGAACCCGGTGCGGTTCCGGGTCGGGAGCCGGGTCAACCGGACCATCCGGACGGGGAACCGGATGATCCGGGTGGTCCGGGTGGGGAAGCGGACCAACCGGACCAACCGGGTGCGGTACCGGGTGGGAAACCGGACCAAAACGGGTAGTGATCCGGACGGGGAACCGGATCACCCGAGTCGGGAACCGGATCGACCGGGTCTAGGGTGGGGAACCGGACCATCCGGGTGGGGAACCGGGTGGGGTACCGGGTCGGGGAACCGGATCAGCCGGACCATCCGGACGGGGAACCGGATCATCCGGGTGGTCCGGGTGGGGTGCCAAATCGACCGTGCGGGGAGTCGGACCAGCCGGACCATCCGGGTGGGGTACCGGGTCGGGAACCGGATCAACCGGACCATCCGGACGGGGAACCGGATCATCCGGGAAGGGAACCGGATCGACCGGGTCTAGGGTGGGGAACCGGACCATCCGGGTCGGTCGGGTCGGAACCCGGATCCGGAACCGGGTGTTGAGCCGTATCAACCGGATGGGAGCCGGATGGACCCAATCGGACGGACAAGCCGGACCGAAAACGGGTGGGGAACCGGGTCGGAACCGGGTGGAGAGCCGAATGGGCCGGTTCGGTCGGATCAACCGGGCCGGAAACGGGTGGGTAACCGGATCAACCGCCCCAGCCGGGTGAGGGATCGGGTCGACCCGGTAGGGAGCCGGATCGACCGGATCGGAACCGGTTGGGAAACCGGATTCACCGGACCGACCGGATCGACCGGATCAACCGGGTGGGGAGCCGGGTCAACCGGGCGGGGAACCGGATGGACCGGACCAGCCGGATCATCCGGGTTGGAGCCGGGCGGGGAACAGGATCAACCGGTTGAGCCGGGTCGATGGATCCGGATCCCACCACCCTAGGCGGGATGGATCCGGGTCGCACCCCCCCGGTTGGGATGGATCCCGATCACCCCTCTCGGGATGGGATGGATCCGGATCTCACCACCCTGGACGGGATGGATCCGGATAACCCCGCCCGGGGGTTGGGATGGATCCGGATCGCACCACCCTGGATGGGATGGATACGGATCGCACCTCCCCGGTGGGGATTGATCCGGTTCGAAACACCGCGGGTGGGATGGGTCCGGTCCGAACCACCCTGGAAGGGATGGATCCGGACCGGGCCACCGTGGATGGGACGGGTCCGGTTCTTTGACGGCTCCCGGGTGGGTGTGGGTCCTTGGACGGGCCCACACCCTCCCTAGAGCCCTTTATTCTTTGGGTCACACCTTCGTTCTCGACCGGGGTTCTTTGCGGGCTCTAGGGTGGGTGTGGGTCCTTGCACGGACCCCTACCTTCCCTACCGGGTCGGGAACCGGATCGACCGGACCATCCGGACGGGGAACCGGATCATCCGGGTCATCCCGCAAGGGAACCGGATCGACCGGGTCTAGGTTAGGGAACCGGACCATCCGGGTGGGGAACCGGGTCCGGTACCGGGTCGGGAACCGGATCGACCGGGTCTAGGGTAGGAAGCCGGACCATCCGGGTGGGGAACCGGATCGACCGGGTCTAGGGCAGGAAGCCGGACCATCCGGGTGGGGAACCGGGTCCGGTGCCGGATCGACCGGGTCTAGGGTAGGAAGCCGGACCATCCGGATGGGGAACCGGGTCGGCCAGCCGGGTCGGGTACCGGATCGACCGGATCTAGGGTAGGAAGCCGGACCGTCCGGGTGGGGAAGCGGATCGGGTACCAGGTCTAGGGTAGGAAGCGGGACCATCCGGGTGGGGAACCGGGTCGGGTACCGGGTCGGGAACCGGATCGACCGGACCAACCGGATGGGGAACCGGATCATCCGGATCATCCGCATGGGGTGCCGAACCGACCGTGTCGGGAGTCGGACCAACCGGGTGGGGTACCGGGTCGGGAACCGGATCGACCGGACCATCCGACCGGGAAACCGGATCATCCGGGTCATCCGGGAAGGGAACCAGATCTAGGTTAGGGAACCGGACCATCCGGGTGGGGAACCGGGTCGGGTACCGGGTCGGGAACCGGATCGATCGGGTCTAGGGTAGGAAGCGGGACCATCCGGGTGGGGAGCCGGGTCGGGTACCGGGTCGGGAACCGGATCGACGGGATCTAGGGTAGGAAGCCGAACCATCCGGGTGGGGAACCGGGTCGGGTACCGGACCGGGAACCGGATCCACCGGACCAACCGGATGGGGAACCGGATCATCCGGATCATCCGCATGGGGTGCCGAACCGACCGTGTCGGGAGTCGGACCAACCGGGTGGGGTACCGGGTCGGGAACCGGATCGACCGGACCATCCGACCGGGGAACCGGATCATCCGGGTCATCCGGGAAGGGAACCGGATCTATGTTAGGGAACCGGACCATCCGGGTGGGGAACCGGGTCCGGTACCGTGTCGGGAACCGGATCGACCGGGTCTAGGGTAGGAAGCCGGACCATCCGGGTGGGGAGCCGGGTCCGGTACCGGGTCGGGTACCGGACCGACCGGGTCTAGGGTAGGAAGCCGGACCATCCGGGTGGGGAGCCGGGTCGGGTACCGGGTCGGGTACCGGACCGACCGGATCTAGGGTAGGAAGCCGGACAATCCGGGTGGGGAACCGGGTCGGGTACCGGACTGGGAACCGGATCCACTGGACCAACCGGATGGGGAACCGGATCATCCGGATCATCCGCATGGGGTGCCGAACCGACCGTGTCGGGAGTCGGACCAACCGGGTGGGGTACCGGGTCGGGAACCGGATCGACCGGACCATCCGACCGGGGAACCGGATCATCCGGGTCATCCGGGAAGGGAACCGGATCTATGTTAGGGAACCGGACCATCCGGGTGGGGAACCGGGTCCGGTACCGGGTCGGGAACCGGATCGACCGGGTCTAGGGTAGGAAGCCGGACCATCCGGGTGGGGAGCCGGGTCCGGTACCGGGTCGGGTACCGGACCGACCGGGTCTAGGGTAGGAAGCCGGACCATCCGGGTGGGGAACCGGGTCCGGTACCGGGTCGGGAACCGGATCGATCGGGTCTAGGGTAGGAAGCGGGACCATCCGGGTGGGGAGCCGGGTCGGGTACCGGGTCGGGAACCGGATCGACGGGATCTAGGGTAGGAAGCCGAACCATCCGGGTGGGGAACCGGGCCGGGTACCGGACCGGGAACCGGATCCACCGGACCAACCGGATGGGGAACCGGATCATCCGGATCATCCGCATGGGGTGCCGAACCGACCGTGTCGGGAGTCGGACCAACCGGGTGGGGTACCGGGTCGGGAACCGGATCGACCGGACCATCCGACCGGGGAACCGGATCATCCGGGTCATCCGGGAAGGGAACCGGATCTATGTTAGGGAACCGGACCATCCGGGTGGGGAACCGGGTCCGGTACCGTGTCGGGAACCGGATCGACCGGGTCTAGGGTAGGAAGCCGGACCATCCGGGTGGGGAGCCGGGTCCGGTACCGGGTCGGGTACCGGACCGACCGGGTCTAGGGTAGGAAGCCGGACCATCCGGGTGGGGAGCCGGGTCGGGTACCGGGTCGGGTACCGGACCGACCGGATCTAGGGTAGGAAGCCGGACAATCCGGGTGGGGAACCGGGTCGGGTACCGGACTGGGAACCGGATCCACTGGACCAACCGGATGGGGAACCGGATCATCCGGATCATCCGCATGGGGTGCCGAACCGACCGTGTCGGGAGTCGGACCAACCGGGTGGGGTACCGGGTCGGGAACCGGATCGACCAGACCATCCGACCGGGGAACCGGATCATCCGGGTCATCCGGGAAGGGAACCGGATCTAGGTTAGGGAACAGGACCATCCGGGTGGGGAACCGGGTCCGGTACCGGGTCGGGAACCGGATCGACCGGGTCTAGGGTAGGAAGCCGGACCATCCGGGTGGGGAGCCGGGTCCGGTACCGGGTCGGGTACCGGACCGACCGGGTCTAGGGTAGGAAGCCGGACCATCCGGGTGGGGAACCGGGTCGGGTACCGGACCGACCGGATCTAGGGTAGGAAGCCGGACCATCCGGGTGGGGAACCGGGTCGGCCAACCGGGTCGGGTACCGGATCGACCGGATCTAGGGTGGGAAGCCGGACCATCCGGGTGGGGAACCGGGCCGGCCAACCGGGTCGGGTACCGGATCGACCGGGTCTATGGTAGGAAGCCGGACCATCCGGGTGGGGAACCGGGTCGGGTACTGGGTCGGGTACCGGATCGACCGGATCTAGGGTAGGAAGCCGTACCATCCGGGTGGGGAACCGGGTCGGGTACCGGGTCGGGAACCGGATCGACCGGATCTAGGGTAGGGAGCGGGACCATCCGGGTGGGGAACCGGGTCGGGTACCGGCGGATCGACCGGACCATCCGGATGGGGAACCGGGGTGCCGAACCGACCGTGTGGGGAGTCGGACCAACCGGGCCAGCCGGGTGGGGTACCGGATCCGGTACCGGATCAACCGGACCATCCGGCCGGGGAACCGGATCATTCGGGTCATCCGGGAAGGGAACCGGACCGACCGGGTCTAGGGTAGGAAGCCGGACCATACGGGTGGGGAACCGGGTCGGGTACCGGGTCGGGAACCGGATCGACCGGGTCTAGGGTAGGAAGCGGGACCATCCGGGTGGGGAGCCGGGTCGGGAACCGGATCGACCGGATCTAGGGTAGGAAGCCGAACCATCCGGGTGGGGAACCGGGTCGGGTACCGGACCGGGAACCGGATCCACCGGACCAACCGGATGGGGAACCGGATCATCCGGATCATCCGCATGGGGTGCCGAACCGACCGTGTCGGGAGTCGGACCAACCGGGTGGGGTACCGGGTCGGGAACCGGATCGACCGGACCATCCGACCGGGGAACCGGATCATCCGGGTCATCCGGGAAGGGAACCTGATCTAGGTTAGGGAACCGGACCATCCGGGTGGGGAACCGGGTCCGGTACCGGGTCGGGAACCGGATCGACCGGGTCTAGGGTAGGAAGCCGGACCATCCGGGCGGGGAGCCGGGTCCGGTACCGGGTCGGGTACCGGACCGACCGGGTCTAGGGTAGGAAGCCGGACCATCCGGGTGGGGAACCGGGTCGGGTACCGGACCGACCGGATCTAGGGTAGGAAGCCGGACCATCCGGGTGGGGAACCGGGTCGGGTACCGGACCGGGAACCGGATCCACCGGACCAACCGGATGGGGAACCGGATCATCCGGATCATTCGCATGGGGTGCCGAACCGGCCGTGTCGGGAGTCGGACCAACCGGGTGGGGCACCGGGTCGGGAACCGGATCGACCGGACCATCCGACCGGGGAACCGGATCATCCGGGTCATCCGGGAAGGGAACCGGATCTAGGTTAGGGAACAGGACCATCCGGGTGGGGAACCGGGTCCGGTACCGGGTCGGGAACCGGATCGACCGGGTCTAGGGTAGGAAGCCGGACCATCCGGGTGGGGAGCCGGGTCCGGTACCGGGTTGGGTACCGGACCGACCGGGTCTAGGGTAGGAAGCCGGACCATCCGGGTGGGGAACCGGGTCCGGTACCGGGTCGGGTACCTGATCGACCGGATCTAGGGTAGGAAGCCGTACCATCCGGGTGGGGAACCGGGTCGGGTACCGGGTCGGGAACCGGATCGACCGGGTCTAGGGTAGGAAGCGGGACCATCCGGGTGGGGAGCCGGGTCGGGTACCGGGTCGGGAACCGGATCGACGGGATCTAGGGTAGGAAGCCGAACCATCCGGGTGGGGAACCGGGTCGGGTACCGGGTCGGGAACCGGATCGACCGGGTCTAGTGTAGGAAGCGGGACCATCCGGGTGGGGAACCGGGTCGGGTACCGGACCGGGAACCGGATCCACCGGACCAACCGGATGGGGAACCGGATCATCCGGATCATCCGCATGGTGTGCCGAACCGACCGTGTCGGGAGTCGGACCAACCGAGTGGGGTACCGGGTCGGGAACCGGATCGACCGGACCATCCGACCGGGGAACCGGATCATCCGGGTCATCCGGGAAGGGAACCTGATCTAGGTTAGGGAACCGGACCATCCGGGTGGGGAACCGGGTCCGGTACCGGGTCGGGAACCGGATCGACCGGGTCTAGGGTAGGAAGCCGGACCGTCCGGGTGGGGAGCCGGGTCCGGTACCGGGTCGGGTACCGGACCGACCGGGTCTAGGGTAGGAAGCCGGACCATCCGGGTGGGGAACCGGGTCCGGTACCGGGTCGGGTACCTGATCGACCGGATCTCGGGTAGGAAGCCGTACCATCCGGGTGGGGAACCGGGTCGGGTACCGGGTCGGGAACCGGATCGACCGGGTCTAGGGTAGGAAGCGGGACCATCCGGGTGGGGAGCCGGGTCGGGTACCGGGTCGGGAACCGGATCGACGGGATCTAGGGTAGGAAGCCGAACCATCCGGGTGGGGAACCGGGTCGGGTACCGGGTCGGGAACCGGATCGACCGGGTCTAGTGTAGGAAGCGGGACCATCCGGGTGGGGAACCGGGTCGGGTACCGGACCGGGAACCGGATCCACCGGACCAACCGGATGGGGAACCGGATCATCCGGATCATCCGCATGGGGTGCCGAACCGACCGTGTCGGGAGTCGGACCAACCGGGTGGGGTACCGGGTCGGGAACCGGATCGACCGGACCATCCGACCGGGGAACCGGATCATCCGGGTCATCCGGGAAGGGAACCGGATCTAGGTTAGGGAACCGGACCATCCGGGTGGGGAACCGGGTCCGGTACTGGGTCGTGAACCGGATCGACCGGGTCTAGGGTAGGAAGCCGGACCATCCGGGCGGGGAGCCGGGTCCGGTACCGGGTCGGGTACCGGACCGACCGGGTCTAGGGTAGGAACCCGGACCATCCGGGTGGGGAACCGGGTCGGGTACCGGGTCGGGAACCGGATCGATCGGGTCTAGGGTAGGAAGCGGGACCATCCGGGTGGGGAGCCGGGTCGGGTACCGGGTCGGGAACCGGATCGACGGGATCTAGGGTAGGAAGCCGAACCATCCGGGTGGGGAACCGGGTCGGGTACCGGACCGGGAACCGGATCCACCGGACCAACCGGATGGGGAACCGGATCATCCGGATCATCCGCATGGGGTGCCGAACCGACCGTGTCGGGAGTCGGACCAACCGGGTGGGGTACCGGGTCGGGAACCGGATCGACCGGACCATCCGACCGGGGAACCGGATCATCCGGGTCATCCGGGAAGGGAACCGGATCTATGTTAGGGAACCGGACCATCCGGGTGGGGAACCGGGTCCGGTACCGGGTCGGGAACCGGATCGACCGGGTCTAGGGTAGGAAGCCGGACCATCCGGGTGGGGAGCCGGGTCCGGTACCGGGTCGGGTACCGGACCGACCGGGTCTAGGGTAGGAAGCCGGACCATCCGGGTGGGGAACCGGGTCCGGTACCGGGTCGGGAACCGGATCGATCGGGTCTAGGGTAGGAAGCGGGACCATCCGGGTGGGGAGCCGGGTCGGGTACCGGGTCGGGAACCGGATCGACGGGATCTAGGGTAGGAAGCCGAACCATCCGGGTGGGGAACCGGGCCGGGTACCGGACCGGGAACCGGATCCACCGGACCAACCGGATGGGGAACCGGATCATCCGGATCATCCGCATGGGGTGCCGAACCGACCGTGTCGGGAGTCGGACCAACCGGGTGGGGTACCGGGTCGGGAACCGGATCGACCGGACCATCCGACCGGGGAACCGGATCATCCGGGTCATCCGGGAAGGGAACCGGATCTATGTTAGGGAACAGGACCATCCGGGTGGGGAACCGGGTCCGGTACCGTGTCGGGAACCGGATCGACCGGGTCTAGGGTAGGAAGCCGGACCATCCGGGTGGGGAGCCGGGTCCGGTACCGGGTCGGGTACCGGACCGACCGGGTCTAGGGTAGGAAGCCGGACCATCCGGGTGGGGAGCCGGGTCGGGTACCGGGTCGGGTACCGGACCGACCGGATCTAGGGTAGGAAGCCGGACAATCCGGGTGGGGAACCGGGTCGGGTACCGGACTGGGAACCGGATCCACTGGACCAACCGGATGGGGAACCGGATCATCCGGATCATCCGCATGGGGTGCCGAACCGACCGTGTCGGGAGTCGGACCAACCGGGTGGGGTACCGGGTCGGGAACCGGATCGACCAGACCATCCGACCGGGGAACCGGATCATCCGGGTCATCCGGGAAGGGAACCGGATCTAGGTTAGGGAACAGGACCATCCGGGTGGGGAACCGGGTCCGGTACCGGGTCGGGAACCGGATCGACCGGGTCTAGGGTAGGAAGCCGGACCATCCGGGTGGGGAGCCGGGTCCGGTACCGGGTCGGGTACCGGACCGACCGGGTCTAGGGTAGGAAGCCGGACCATCCGGGTGGGGAACCGGGTCGGGTACCGGACCGACCGGATCTAGGGTAGGAAGCCGGACCATCCGGGTGGGGAACCGGGTCGGCCAACCGGGTCGGGTACCGGATCGACCGGATCTAGGGTGGGAAGCCGGACCATCCGGGTGGGGAACCGGGCCGGCCAACCGGGTCGGGTACCGGATCGACCGGGTCTATGGTAGGAAGCCGGACCATCCGGGTGGGGAACCGGGTCGGGTACTGGGTCGGGTACCGGATCGACCGGATCTAGGGTAGGAAGCCGTACCATCCGGGTGGGGAACCGGGTCGGGTACCGGGTCGGGAACCGGATCGACCGGATCTAGGGTAGGGAGCGGGACCATCCGGGTGGGGAACCGGGTCGGGTACCGGCGGATCGACCGGACCATCCGGATGGGGAACCGCGGTGCCGAACCGACCGTGTGGGGAGTCGGACCAACCGGGCCAGCCGGGTGGGGTACCGGATCCGGTACCGGATCAACCGGACCATCCGGCCGGGGAACCGGATCATTCGGGTCATCCGGGAAGGGAACCGGACCGACCGGGTCTAGGGTAGGAAGCCGGACCATACGGGTGGGGAACCGGGTCGGGTACCGGGTCGGGAACCGGATCGACCGGGTCTAGGGTAGGAAGCGGGACCATCCGGGTGGGGAGCCGGGTCGGGAACCGGATCGACCGGATCTAGGGTAGGAAGCCGAACCATCCGGGTGGGGAACCGGGTCGGGTACCGGACCGGGAACCGGATCCACCGGACCAACCGGATGGGGAACCGGATCATCCGGATCATCCGCATGGGGTGCCGAACCGACCGTGTCGGGAGTCGGACCAACCGGGTGGGGTACCGGGTCGGGAACCGGATCGACCGGACCATCCGACCGGGGAACCGGATCATCCGGGTCATCCGGGAAGGGAACCTGATCTAGGTTAGGGAACCGGACCATCCGGGTGGGGAACCGGGTCCGGTACCGGGTCGGGAACCGGATCGACCGGGTCTAGGGTAGGAAGCCGGACCATCCGGGCGGGGAGCCGGGTCCGGTACCGGGTCGGGTACCGGACCGACCGGGTCTAGGGTAGGAAGCCGGACCATCCGGGTGGGGAACCGGGTCGGGTACCGGACCGACCGGATCTAGGGTAGGAAGCCGGACCATCCGGGTGGGGAACCGGGTCGGGTACCGGACCGGGAACCGGATCCACCGGACCAACCGGATGGGGAACCGGATCATCCGGATCATTCGCATGGGGTGCCGAACCGGCCGTGTCGGGAGTCGGACCAACCGGGTGGGGCACCGGGTCGGGAACCGGATCGACCGGACCATCCGACCGGGGAACCGGATCATCCGGGTCATCCGGGAAGGGAACCGGATCTAGGTTAGGGAACAGGACCATCCGGGTGGGGAACCGGGTCCGGTACCGGGTCGGGAACCGGATCGACCGGGTCTAGGGTAGGAAGCCGGACCATCCGGGTGGGGAGCCGGGTCCGGTACCGGGTTGGGTACCGGACCGACCGGGTCTAGGGTAGGAAGCCGGACCATCCGGGTGGGGAACCGGGTCCGGTACCGGGTCGGGTACCTGATCGACCGGATCTAGGGTAGGAAGCCGTACCATCCGGGTGGGGAACCGGGTCGGGTACCGGGTCGGGAACCGGATCGACCGGGTCTAGGGTAGGAAGCGGGACCATCCGGGTGGGGAGCCGGGTCGGGTACCGGGTCGGGAACCGGATCGACGGGATCTAGGGTAGGAAGCCGAACCATCCGGGTGGGGAACCGGGTCGGGTACCGGGTCGGGAACCGGATCGACCGGGTCTAGTGTAGGAAGCGGGACCATCCGGGTGGGGAACCGGGTCGGGTACCGGACCGGGAACCGGATCCACCGGACCAACCGGATGGGGAACCGGATCATCCGGATCATCCGCATGGGGTGCCGAACCGACCGTGTCGGGAGTCGGACCAACCGAGTGGGGTACCGGGTCGGGAACCGGATCGACCGGACCATCCGACCGGGGAACCGGATCATCCGGGTCATCCGGGAAGGGAACCTGATCTAGGTTAGGGAACCGGACCATCCGGGTGGGGAACCGGGTCCGGTACCGGGTCGGGAACCGGATCGACCGGGTCTAGGGTAGGAAGCCGGACCGTCCGGGTGGGGAGCCGGGTCCGGTACCGGGTCGGGTACCGGACCGACCGGGTCTAGGGTAGGAAGCCGGACCATCCGGGTGGGGAACCGGGTCCGGTACCGGGTCGGGTACCTGATCGACCGGATCTCGGGTAGGAAGCCGTACCATCCGGGTGGGGAACCGGGTCGGGTACCGGGTGGGGAACCGGATCAGCCGGGCAAGCCCGATGGGGAACCGGGTGGGGAAACGGACCAGCCGGGTAGGGTACCGGGCGGGGAACCGGACCATCCGGGTCATCCGGGTGGGGATCCGGATCGACCGGGTCATCCGGGTGGGGAACCGGACCAACCGGACCATCCGGGTGGGGAACCGGGTCGGGAACCGGATCAGCCCGACCATCCGGTTGGGGAGCCGGACCAATCGGACCGTCCGGGTGGGGAGCCGAATCGACCGGGTGGGAAATCGGACCAACCGGGTGGGGAACCGGACCAGCCGGACCATCCGGGTGGGGAACCGGGTCGGGAACCGGATCAACCCGACCATCCGGTTGGGGAGCCGGACCAATCGGACCGTCCGGGTGGGGAGCCGAATCGACCGGGTGGGAAATCGGACCAACCGGGTGGGGAACCGGACCAACCGGACCATCCGGGTGGGGAACCGGGTCGGGAACCGGATCAACCCGACCATCCGGTTGGGGAACCGGACCAATCGGACCGTCCGGGTGGGGAGCCGAATCGACCGGGTGGGAAATCGGACCAACCGGGTGGGGAACCCGGTGCGGTTCCGGGTCGGGAGCCGGGTCAACCGGACCATCCGGACGGGGAACCGGATGATCCGGGTGGTCCGGGTGGGGAAGCGGACCAACCGGACCAACCGGGTGCGGTACCGGGTGGGAAACCGGACCAAAACGGGTAGTGATCCGGACGGGGAACCGGATCACCCGAGTCGGGAACCGGATCGACCGGGTCTAGGGTGGGGAACCGGACCATCCGGGTGGGGAACCGGGTGGGGTACCGGGTCGGGGAACCGGATCAGCCGGACCATCCGGACGGGGAACCGGATCATCCGGGTGGTCCGGGTGGGGTGCCAAATCGACCGTGCGGGGAGTCGGACCAGCCGGACCATCCGGGTGGGGTACCGGGTCGGGAACCGGATCAACCGGACCATCCGGACGGGGAACCGGATCATCCGGGAAGGGAACCGGATCGACCGGGTCTAGGGTGGGGAACCGGACCATCCGGGTCGGTCGGGTCGGAACCCGGATCCGGAACCGGGTGTTGAGCCGTATCAACCGGATGGGAGCCGGATGGACCCAATCGGACGGACAAGCCGGACCGAAAACGGGTGGGGAACCGGGTCGGAACCGGGTGGAGAGCCGAATGGGCCGGTTCGGTCGGATCAACCGGGCCGGAAACGGGTGGGTAACCGGATCAACCGCCCCAGCCGGGTGAGGGATCGGGTCGACCCGGTAGGGAGCCGGATCGACCGGATCGGAACCGGTTGGGAAACCGGATTCACCGGACCGACCGGATCGACCGGATCAACCGGGTGGGGAGCCGGGTCAACCGGGCGGGGAACCGGATGGACCGGACCAGCCGGATCATCCGGGTTGGAGCCGGGCGGGGAACAGGATCAACCGGTTGAGCCGGGTCGATGGATCCGGATCCCACCACCCTAGGCGGGATGGATCCGGGTCGCACCCCCCCGGTTGGGATGGATCCCGATCACCCCTCTCGGGATGGGATGGATCCGGATCTCACCACCCTGGACGGGATGGATCCGGATAACCCCGCCCGGGGGTTGGGATGGATCCGGATCGCACCACCCTGGATGGGATGGATACGGATCGCACCTCCCCGGTGGGGATTGATCCGGTTCGAAACACCGCGGGTGGGATGGGTCCGGTCCGAACCACCCTGGAAGGGATGGATCCGGACCGGGCCACCGTGGATGGGACGGGTCCGGTTCTTTGACGGCTCCCGGGTGGGTGTGGGTCCTTGGACGGGCCCACACCCTCCCTAGAGCCCTTTATTCTTTGGGTCACACCTTCGTTCTCGACCGGGGTTCTTTGCGGGCTCTAGGGTGGGTGTGGGTCCTTGCACGGACCCCTACCTTCCCTACCGGGTCGGGAACCGGATCGACCGGACCATCCGGACGGGGAACCGGATCATCCGGGTCATCCCGCAAGGGAACCGGATCGACCGGGTCTAGGTTAGGGAACCGGACCATCCGGGTGGGGAACCGGGTCCGGTACCGGGTCGGGAACCGGATCGACCGGGTCTAGGGTAGGAAGCCGGACCATCCGGGTGGGGAACCGGATCGACCGGGTCTAGGGCAGGAAGCCGGACCATCCGGGTGGGGAACCGGGTCCGGTGCCGGATCGACCGGGTCTAGGGTAGGAAGCCGGACCATCCGGATGGGGAACCGGGTCGGCCAGCCGGGTCGGGTACCGGATCGACCGGATCTAGGGTAGGAAGCCGGACCGTCCGGGTGGGGAAGCGGATCGGGTACCAGGTCTAGGGTAGGAAGCGGGACCATCCGGGTGGGGAACCGGGTCGGGTACCGGGTCGGGAACCGGATCGACCGGACCAACCGGATGGGGAACCGGATCATCCGGATCATCCGCATGGGGTGCCGAACCGACCGTGTCGGGAGTCGGACCAACCGGGTGGGGTACCGGGTCGGGAACCGGATCGACCGGACCATCCGACCGGGAAACCGGATCATCCGGGTCATCCGGGAAGGGAACCAGATCTAGGTTAGGGAACCGGACCATCCGGGTGGGGAACCGGGTCGGGTACCGGGTCGGGAACCGGATCGATCGGGTCTAGGGTAGGAAGCGGGACCATCCGGGTGGGGAGCCGGGTCGGGTACCGGGTCGGGAACCGGATCGACGGGATCTAGGGTAGGAAGCCGAACCATCCGGGTGGGGAACCGGGTCGGGTACCGGACCGGGAACCGGATCCACCGGACCAACCGGATGGGGAACCGGATCATCCGGATCATCCGCATGGGGTGCCGAACCGACCGTGTCGGGAGTCGGACCAACCGGGTGGGGTACCGGGTCGGGAACCGGATCGACCGGACCATCCGACCGGGGAACCGGATCATCCGGGTCATCCGGGAAGGGAACCGGATCTATGTTAGGGAACCGGACCATCCGGGTGGGGAACCGGGTCCGGTACCGTGTCGGGAACCGGATCGACCGGGTCTAGGGTAGGAAGCCGGACCATCCGGGTGGGGAGCCGGGTCCGGTACCGGGTCGGGTACCGGACCGACCGGGTCTAGGGTAGGAAGCCGGACCATCCGGGTGGGGAGCCGGGTCGGGTACCGGGTCGGGTACCGGACCGACCGGATCTAGGGTAGGAAGCCGGACAATCCGGGTGGGGAACCGGGTCGGGTACCGGACTGGGAACCGGATCCACTGGACCAACCGGATGGGGAACCGGATCATCCGGATCATCCGCATGGGGTGCCGAACCGACCGTGTCGGGAGTCGGACCAACCGGGTGGGGTACCGGGTCGGGAACCGGATCGACCGGACCATCCGACCGGGGAACCGGATCATCCGGGTCATCCGGGAAGGGAACCGGATCTATGTTAGGGAACCGGACCATCCGGGTGGGGAACCGGGTCCGGTACCGGGTCGGGAACCGGATCGACCGGGTCTAGGGTAGGAAGCCGGACCATCCGGGTGGGGAGCCGGGTCCGGTACCGGGTCGGGTACCGGACCGACCGGGTCTAGGGTAGGAAGCCGGACCATCCGGGTGGGGAACCGGGTCCGGTACCGGGTCGGGAACCGGATCGATCGGGTCTAGGGTAGGAAGCGGGACCATCCGGGTGGGGAGCCGGGTCGGGTACCGGGTCGGGAACCGGATCGACGGGATCTAGGGTAGGAAGCCGAACCATCCGGGTGGGGAACCGGGCCGGGTACCGGACCGGGAACCGGATCCACCGGACCAACCGGATGGGGAACCGGATCATCCGGATCATCCGCATGGGGTGCCGAACCGACCGTGTCGGGAGTCGGACCAACCGGGTGGGGTACCGGGTCGGGAACCGGATCGACCGGACCATCCGACCGGGGAACCGGATCATCCGGGTCATCCGGGAAGGGAACCGGATCTATGTTAGGGAACCGGACCATCCGGGTGGGGAACCGGGTCCGGTACCGTGTCGGGAACCGGATCGACCGGGTCTAGGGTAGGAAGCCGGACCATCCGGGTGGGGAGCCGGGTCCGGTACCGGGTCGGGTACCGGACCGACCGGGTCTAGGGTAGGAAGCCGGACCATCCGGGTGGGGAGCCGGGTCGGGTACCGGGTCGGGTACCGGACCGACCGGATCTAGGGTAGGAAGCCGGACAATCCGGGTGGGGAACCGGGTCGGGTACCGGACTGGGAACCGGATCCACTGGACCAACCGGATGGGGAACCGGATCATCCGGATCATCCGCATGGGGTGCCGAACCGACCGTGTCGGGAGTCGGACCAACCGGGTGGGGTACCGGGTCGGGAACCGGATCGACCAGACCATCCGACCGGGGAACCGGATCATCCGGGTCATCCGGGAAGGGAACCGGATCTAGGTTAGGGAACAGGACCATCCGGGTGGGGAACCGGGTCCGGTACCGGGTCGGGAACCGGATCGACCGGGTCTAGGGTAGGAAGCCGGACCATCCGGGTGGGGAGCCGGGTCCGGTACCGGGTCGGGTACCGGACCGACCGGGTCTAGGGTAGGAAGCCGGACCATCCGGGTGGGGAACCGGGTCGGGTACCGGACCGACCGGATCTAGGGTAGGAAGCCGGACCATCCGGGTGGGGAACCGGGTCGGCCAACCGGGTCGGGTACCGGATCGACCGGATCTAGGGTGGGAAGCCGGACCATCCGGGTGGGGAACCGGGCCGGCCAACCGGGTCGGGTACCGGATCGACCGGGTCTATGGTAGGAAGCCGGACCATCCGGGTGGGGAACCGGGTCGGGTACTGGGTCGGGTACCGGATCGACCGGATCTAGGGTAGGAAGCCGTACCATCCGGGTGGGGAACCGGGTCGGGTACCGGGTCGGGAACCGGATCGACCGGATCTAGGGTAGGGAGCGGGACCATCCGGGTGGGGAACCGGGTCGGGTACCGGCGGATCGACCGGACCATCCGGATGGGGAACCGGGGTGCCGAACCGACCGTGTGGGGAGTCGGACCAACCGGGCCAGCCGGGTGGGGTACCGGATCCGGTACCGGATCAACCGGACCATCCGGCCGGGGAACCGGATCATTCGGGTCATCCGGGAAGGGAACCGGACCGACCGGGTCTAGGGTAGGAAGCCGGACCATACGGGTGGGGAACCGGGTCGGGTACCGGGTCGGGAACCGGATCGACCGGGTCTAGGGTAGGAAGCGGGACCATCCGGGTGGGGAGCCGGGTCGGGAACCGGATCGACCGGATCTAGGGTAGGAAGCCGAACCATCCGGGTGGGGAACCGGGTCGGGTACCGGACCGGGAACCGGATCCACCGGACCAACCGGATGGGGAACCGGATCATCCGGATCATCCGCATGGGGTGCCGAACCGACCGTGTCGGGAGTCGGACCAACCGGGTGGGGTACCGGGTCGGGAACCGGATCGACCGGACCATCCGACCGGGGAACCGGATCATCCGGGTCATCCGGGAAGGGAACCTGATCTAGGTTAGGGAACCGGACCATCCGGGTGGGGAACCGGGTCCGGTACCGGGTCGGGAACCGGATCGACCGGGTCTAGGGTAGGAAGCCGGACCATCCGGGCGGGGAGCCGGGTCCGGTACCGGGTCGGGTACCGGACCGACCGGGTCTAGGGTAGGAAGCCGGACCATCCGGGTGGGGAACCGGGTCGGGTACCGGACCGACCGGATCTAGGGTAGGAAGCCGGACCATCCGGGTGGGGAACCGGGTCGGGTACCGGACCGGGAACCGGATCCACCGGACCAACCGGATGGGGAACCGGATCATCCGGATCATTCGCATGGGGTGCCGAACCGGCCGTGTCGGGAGTCGGACCAACCGGGTGGGGCACCGGGTCGGGAACCGGATCGACCGGACCATCCGACCGGGGAACCGGATCATCCGGGTCATCCGGGAAGGGAACCGGATCTAGGTTAGGGAACAGGACCATCCGGGTGGGGAACCGGGTCCGGTACCGGGTCGGGAACCGGATCGACCGGGTCTAGGGTAGGAAGCCGGACCATCCGGGTGGGGAGCCGGG